TCCCGCATAGCCATATGCACATTCAATGAAAAAGACCCCTCACCTACTTACTTTTTCCCAGGGAGGTGAGGAGGTTCAATCCCCGTTGATACAGCCGTTGATTACAAAGGTCTGCACCTTTGACTTTTACAGAACTTACTAATACATCCTTTCGGCCACTGCTCAGTAAAGGATGTCATAGCACTGGCCGAAAGGAACTGCTGCAGCCCACATTGTACCGTTTTGCATTGCCGTAATTGTCCCAGGGGCGTGACTTTGAGACCACTGATATAATGCATGAGAGAGTGCCAGAGTGATATGTAAAGGTCTTTTACATGTAGCACTTTTATCGTTTGGTAATCAGAATGCATTCAAATAAAAAGTATGTTAAATAGCACAAGTACATTTAGAGTACTATTATGCAGTTTCAAATGGACCATTTAACACAGCAGTAAAAACAAGTCCAAAAAATTCTGACCTTATGTTCAATATCTTCCAAAGTTGTATCTTTCATCTCCTCCATGATAACTGTCAATTTAGTTAATACTTATATGAGTAAAACAGCAGCCCTTTAATAAACATTAGATAAAAAGAATGACAAGTTTTTTGCCTATTTATGAATTACATTTTATAATTAAAACTAAAAAGGAGTGAGAACATGCATAAGCAATTATAAAGATATGAAGTCCCCAAAGATAATCACCAATTAATTTTATTAACACACAAAGAAAGATACAGACACATAGCATTCAAACAAGTACACTAACAAAAATAAAACTATACAAAAACATGCAAATACAAGATAACTAATTCTTAAAAAAGTTCATTTAGTGACATAAATATTACAAAAGTTGTTTAAAAAAACCTTAAGAAAGGATAAGATACATGAAAAACAAATTAAACATTTATGGTGTAATGCAATGTAGCAATTCGGATGAATCTCAGCTGTGGAGGCTATACAGGTGTAGGGGTTTACCTAGGGTACGGCGTCAGGGTCGAGCTCCAGGCGTCACTCTCAGAGTCTTGAGCGGAGAGTTTGGAGCTCTACCATCATATGCCGCAAATTAATCAAATAGGAGTAAGGGGTAGCACACTATGGGTTCACAATACTATAGCGTACCCTGCGCAGCAAAACAATTGTAGGTAAAAGTAAATTGAAACGAAAATCACTACTTCCCCTTTAAGAAGTAAGAGTCCACTGGTATTGAGACAACAGTAATGCAGAAAGTAATTTAGAGTCCAGTAACAGTTATGGGCAGCAATCTTCCTAGCAACTCTACACCATAAATACTTGCTGTTTGTGGGGTTATTCAATAGGGTGATCCTCTCAGTCCTTGGTTCTTTAGTCCAGCAGCAGGGAGCAGGCTGTCAGCTGGCGTTTCTGAATGAATAATAGAACGCCATACTGACCTGGCTTCCTGCTATTTAAGAGGATGTGAAGGGGAGGAGCTGGTGACGTTTTCCCGACCCCATTGCGCTCCACGCTGGAACGCATCGGCGATGTTACTTCCGGGTTGCGGCTGCGTTGTACCCTGGAACGCAAGCCGCGATCGTACAGTGTCCTTTGCGGCTGTGTTCCATAGGGGGACGCATGCCGCGATCCTTACATATGGTTTATCATTTGTATTGTAAAATAAAGTGGGAATACCTGATTTTTACCCCTCCCAAACTGTCCCCGATTCTGTGGGACTGTCCTGGACTTAAAACAGAATCCTGGCATATCATGGATCTGGGCCATGCCCCTGAGCAAACTGCAGGTACACTTGTCCAAGCTCTTGTCTCCTGCTCTGGAAAGAAACTGAAGCTGGAATGATCTCCTGCCAACAGACTCTGCATAGTCCCAGCAGAGGGAGAGAGACGTAGTATGGGACACAGTTAAACACGCGTATATGCGCGTAAATACGCAGAAATACGCTGCCTGGACGCATCTCGGTTCCATTCTGTTTTTGCGCATATATACGCTACGCAAATATACGTCTCTATACGCGGCTGTGTGTATGGAGCCATTTATTTGCATAGGTTGCATATGGTACAATACACAAGTACACGCATATATGCACGCATACGTGCGGCAGTGTGAATGAGGCCTTAGAGATTATTAATAGAAATATGTCTTCCTTTCTTCAGCCGAAGTTACCAACACAGCTCAAACAATGAACCATGGTTGCTTTTCCTTTCGCTAGATCTGTAGTCACTCACTGTCACTCTGTGGGCCACCTCGAGATGTGCAGTGTACGTGTCCAGTTCCTGGAATATCTGTCCCTACATGATGGGATATATGTCTCTTAGGCCCCATTCATTTCTGTGAATGGGGCAAATCGCATAACAGTCCTGCGATCTCCTGCGGGTGAGATGCTCTGTATAATCCAATGACAGCTGCCACCGCCCAAAGCTGTTTGCGGGTTATCACACAGCCTGTGATTACCTGCTGACAATTGCACCTGGACGCAAACAGTCTAAGGTAATCGCAAAAAGCTGTGGATGGTGACAGTTGTCATCGGAGCTCAATGTCCTAATAGATAACAACGTTTTGGGGCCACATAGGGTGCCCTTCATCAGGCTTTTAATTTCAAGCCTGGTGAAGGGCACCCTATGTGTCCCCGAATTATTATTATCTGTTATGACATGAAGCATCAATAAACAGATGTGTTCTTCACTTTGATATGGTGTGCTGGGATCATCTTTAACAAGTTTCATTATTGGCGGCGCCATACGCAGTCACTTCGAGCACCCACGCTGATAGGGATACCCGGTAAGGAGTGCAGCAGGGTTCTGAAATATAAGTTGTCATTGGAGATCAAAGTTTAATAACCCATAGTCACTGATTGAAATTCATGTTTCACTGATCTCAGTCTTGATTTGAACTTAAGACCTCCAGTCTTGGCACTGTCACTGCTGTGAATTGCCTGGATGTTCAGTCTCTTCTGTAAATAATGAGTTAACAACACCAAACAGCACTTATCTGAGCCACTGAGTAGGGAAGGATGATGGTATTGGTCATAGGTTACTCTTTCTGTGTATTCAACATGTTTACAGAGTCTTTAAAAAATATTTCACATTCTCATACAATGTTCATTTTTAAACAGCATTCAATTAAAATAAATAAAAGTTCTGGTGTTTTTGCTAATTACTAAAGCAGCGTGACATCATTTGCAGTAGCTCAATCAAAAAACTCATGCACTTTTTTTTTCTTTAACCCACAGGTGGAATGGCTTACTACAACTTTGGCCTTCGTTTTCCTATTTAGTATTATTTTATTCGGCTAACATAAAGAAAGGTTCTGGGGTTTGTGCTATTCACAAAAGAAGTCTGACATCATTTCCAGTAGCTCAATCAAAAATTCACACCAGTTTTTTTTTTTTTCTCTCAACTAAGAGGTGGAATGGCTTATTGCTACTATTTTCAGTTTTGGTTAAAATAGGAAAGGTTAGTATTTTGTTGCCAGTTTTTTTGTGATTCGTCCATAACTTCCTGTCCCTCTGTGATCAGAACAGGAAGTGAGGAGAAATCTTTCTAATGATGTCTTTCTACTATTTTACTGTTCAAAGCCCATTTTGTGTGCACCTTACTGTATAACTGGTGACAAATTGTTGAGTGCGTTTGTCGTTTGTTTTGCTTGACCGATTTGGTGCAGCGACGCATGGGGTTTCTCAGCTGCCATTGGGATGTGCGGGATCCCTTGTGTGTTTCTCTGTGCTTTTAAGGAGGTTGGGCGTCCTCCTGACAAACCTGCACCCAGTTTGAAATCTTCTGCCCCCATGTGCTCCAAGATGGAGACTCTCATAGTTTAGAGTTATGACCGCACTATAAGAGGTGCCTTGGCGCGGCAGTGTGGCTTTCACATCCTCTGCAGAAGACGTGTATCCAAACCTCTGTTATTATCCTTGGTGGTGAGACAAGTTGTTTTACATGCTGGTTTGTGAGTGTGCCATGATGTCTTTCTACTATTTTACTGTTCAAAGCCCATTTCGTGTGCACCTTACTGTATAACTGGTGACAAATTGTTGAGTGTGTTTGTCGTTTGTTTTGCTTGATCTTTCTAATTGAGACACAAGCAGCAATAAAAACACATAGTTTAGTAGAATGGGTAAGGCTTAAAACATCTGCCTGGTTTTATTGCTACTTGTGTTTATGAGGATGTGTCAGCATGTCACCAGGACAAGAAGTGAAGGGAAATCTCCCCAACAAAGACTCACACAGCACTAAAAGCCTGACATAGGGTTCTGATTCTTTCTCAATCTGTCCAATACAACGTTGTTGGGCTTTAAGATGTTAGTTCATGATTAGTACATGTTTGTTAGTGTAAGCATCCATCGTAGCTTGTAGTGCTTTGCTGAAGTTACAAAATGGAACTTCTGTGTAACTGGGTTCTGACAGCTGTCCTCTTCTTATCATCTCTGTCAAGTCTGACACCATTGTCATGAGCTTTGTTACATCTGTCAAGATGAGAAATGGGGAGACGTTGCCTATCACAATAGTAATGATATAAAAACAATGTTATCCAATAAGCAACCATGAAATGTTATGGATAATGAAATAAAAAGTAAGGTATTCATTCACACCATTGGGCATATGTTTAGGTTCCTGCTGGTGGGCGTTGTGCACCTGCACTGTGATGCATTGAAATTCTTGCTTTTTCTTAAATATTATTAAAATTGACACTACATTAACAGTGGTGTGTTGCAATGTGTTACAACACTTCAAAAATGCAACCTGTTCTACTCTATTTCAGCATACATTGATGCAGCACATTGTCTATGCGCGGGGACTTAGTTGGGCAACGGTATCCAATGAGGCTTGTGTGAAAGACCCCAATGAAATAGGATAAGAAAAAAATAAATCTTACCTATTACAGTCTTACAACGTTTGAGCCCCTGGACCAAAAGGAGCAGTTAACCCTTGCAGTGCAGGTGTAGCCACACTGCAAAGGTTAACGTTTTACATTCCCAAAGTTCCTCTTTAATCCAGTTATATAAAATGTATAATTTGTAAAATGTGTTTTTACATAGCACTTATAGAGTTACGCACCAGAAATCAAGAAAGTTGGATGCAGTTAGCTACTTGTGCAACTCAGGTCACTCAGCAAAGAAACAGCCTTGGTATACAGGTACTGTTTTATACAGCAAAAGCAAGAATATTACTCAATTTTGTAGCCCCCTCAGGGTAAAGAGGATTCACCAGTGCTCAGAGGGGCCCCTTTTTTAGCCTATATATGCAATAGAAAAAGAAAACCTGGCACACAGGCATTTGTTCTTTAGCATAAACTATATTTTATAGCGTGGAACACATTTTAGCTTAAGAAAAGGCTGAGGACTAGGGCATCTTAGCCTGAAACATATCAGTGGCACTGCTGAGGTTTTTTTGTTCACTTTTTTTAGGGCAATGTTTTTCATTTAGTTTAGATGTTTCAGTTCTGCTTTAAGGTTTTGTGGTTTAAAGTAAATCTGTCACAAACCTGAATAATTCAGTCTAGATATAAAACAATGGATGTTTATGATAATATTGACTTTTTCAGCAAAACCCCTTCTCTTAAGGTGCCCATACACTGCACGTTTCTCGTACGAGCATCGCGGGAAATCCCGCGATCGTACGAGAATCGTGCAGTGTGAATGAAGACGTGCAACCGTTTCTACTGTACGGTTGCACGTCTTTTGTCTAAGGAGCATGCTAGAAAACCAGCCGAAAATCTTACGATTTTCGGCTGGTTTGAATGATGCTCGGGAGACAAATGCCAAACGGGCCGGTGGGCGCTCACGCACACTGCCCGTTCAGCATTGCGGTCATCGGAAGCCCGCCCCTCAGCCTTCAAAATAAGGCTGGGCACACACCTTACAACCATCGCAAGACTTTTGTCTTGCGATGGTTGCAAGGTACTTAACAAAACGAACGATCTGCCTATCTTGCAAAGGCAGATCGTACTTGCGATGATCGCAAGCCACGCCCCCTGAGGGGCGGGCTTCGGATGACCGCAATGCCCAACGGGCAGTGCGCGCTTGCGCACACCGGCCCGTCCGGCTTTTATCTTATGAACACGCTACACACCCGCCGAACATCGTACGATGCTCGGCGGATTTTCGAGCATGTTCCTAAGATAAAAGTCGCACGGCTTCCACACACCTTACGATAATCATACGATCGCGTGATTTCCCTCGATTATTGTTATTGCCCACACACCTTATTATCGCAACAATATTGTTATTGCCCACACACCTTATTATCCTGTCTTCCCAACACCTTAAAAGGTGTTGGGAAGACAGGAAGGCTCCACCCAGGAGTCAGAGTGGAGTCCAGTGCAGCTGGGTGCTGCGGATTGAAAACCCCCCAGTGTGCAGGTGAGCACACGACTGACACTGTCTGGAGGAACAGACAGTGGCCTGAGGTCTGAGTGCTGCAAATGCAAAGCAAGGAGGCTGGATGGGCATGTGCTACCCCTGTGAGTCCATGTAAATGGTTTCTCTTCCACTGTGTCATCCAAAAGCCACAGACTTTCATGTTTTTAAATATCAGTGCTTTCTAATAAAATATATAGAGAACTCATTAAATAATTTACAAACATTGCTAATAATAATAATGCCTAGAGAGACCCGTGCTGTGATTTGCTTTTTCTAAAACTGTGTTATACTGCAAATAATACACAATACATAGCCTGGCCATTTCTAGAGATACCTTGCACTAGTAGCACTACTGCAACTTTCAGCTTAGAAACTCCTGTTAAGTCCTAATTCTTCCACCTGAAGAACATCAGGCACTTAGTTCCCCCTGAAGATCTGCCAACACAAATTCATGCTTTTGTGTCCTCCCAATTTGATTACTGCAATGCCTTTTACAATTGTAATACAGCCTTTCAAATTAGTTATTGCAGCTACACAGCCTTAAAACATATCCTGCCACTTTATCTTAGTTATGCACAATAAAATGTAGAATACAATTTATGGTTGGTCAAATGACTGTAAATAACAGAGGCCCTCATGTCTGCAAGGCACACTAAACCACACATGGTTTCTTCCAGCAACCATCCACAATTGCATGTTGCATATGCCTTCTCACATGCAGCTCCACCACTATGGCATGTCTTCCCTACTTTTATTATAATCTGTGCCATGGTGTGCAGTTTGTAGTGCCCACTGAGAAACAGCATTACAAGCGTTTCTGAAAGAGACAGAAAACCACTGACATTGTTAGTTTTAGCAGAGATTTGAGCTTTTTATGCATGAGATGTATTTAATCAAAAGTTCAGCCCTGGACAAGTGCTGCATGGTTTAATTTGTATCTCATGTATTCCCACTTCAGTTAAGCTATAGCATTAGAGAGGAACTTCACCCTTCCCTGTTAATATTTTTTTTGATCCCCACTCACCTTGTTCGCTGGGTTCTTAAGCATCTTCTTTATCTACTGCATCAGGGGGCTGGCTATCTATTCTGGGTTCTCCATGATGATGCACATATAGGGGCCAGCTGCAAGAACCAGCAAGAGGCAGTGGGTCCCCTGATGATGTGTAGCTGTGCGTGCACCTTAGAGCACCCTAACTCCTTCTGGGAAACCGATATCATGCATCCCAGGTGCTCTATGGTGCATGCTCTGCTGTGCGGGTGAATGGGATGTAATTCTCACCCAGGTGGGCCAAAAGGTATTGGGGAGAGGGAGTTTAGACTTCCAATTATGAGAGAAAAGGGGGGGGGGGGGGGGGAGGGAAATGAAGAAAAAGGGGTGGGAAGGGTGAAGTTCTGCCTCAAATGAAAGAATAAACAGGCTGTATGATGTACCCCAATGGTGCTAATTATTGTAGCTCAACACATTCAACTATCATATATGTGGATTATCAACTAGTTTTCTATTGTGGTTCCCCTTCAACCCCCTAATAGCCCCCACCCCCTTGTCATTTTATAGCAGGGACTGTGCAGACAGAATTTTCTTGCTGATAGACACAAAACAAAATGTGCTGTTTACTCTTATGTGGTGTATACCACCTCCCGGATCTTTGGATTCACAGAATGTATTATTTAAACCATTCACAAAATACAAAGTGTTCTGTGAATGGACAAAGGGAGAGAAAGGGCTGATAACAGCGCTGAAAGTATTCTGAGAGTTATACTCTCCAGCGCCAATGAAAGGCTAAGTGAAAATGGAATGGCAGCGATCCTGGAGGTGGCATACACCTCATGAGAATTAACTATTTGTTACACCACACATATAATAAAACAATGTGCTTGGAGTTCTTCTTTAATTATAAATGTACAAAAAGAGATTAACCATCTCATTTGAACTACTATTAAAGTAGACAGTGGTCTTTCCCTAATATGAACATGTGGTTTAAGAATATTACCTAGTTTTATGTAACCCTTGCATGAGCTAGGTCTATGTTAGATTTTACAATACATAATTTAAGAAAGCATGAGACAAACTGTAGACAGCACCAATAAAGCAGATGTTACTATTATTGCCCTGAGAACTGAGATACAGAAATATACGTCAAGCTCTGGCGGTCCTGCATCTGGTACCCACAATCCATCTATAATGTAAAGATTTTATAAATTTATACTGAGGTTCAGCATACTGTAGGACGACCTCCATTTAATAATCTTGACTACCTGAGCTGAGCCCAAAAAAGAACTGATTGCTTTTGAACACTTACAGCAGGTAAAGGTGTGGGCTTTCTTGACATTCCTCCGTATGTGACCATAGTGCTTCCATCTCTTAGGAAATAAAAATGAAACAGCTAAGCATGCTTTGACTTGCAAATATTTTCTAATTCTATTATACATGTAATTAGTTGTTGTTTCTTCTTTTAATATTTTTGGACTTGATAAACTTCTAAATTAACCTATGCATAGTAATACACACATACAATTCAGTGGCTTTTTAGAAACAATATTTTTGGAACATTTCTGCTATGTAATGTAGGAAGATGATGATGGTTTCTGTTGGTAAACAGATTTAATAAGAGCTCTATTATATTTACTAATAATGCCCTGCAGCTATAGAATGTGCCTATGCAGTGCCCAGTAAAGGTCATCCCTGGTAAAGTGGCCCCCTACCAGGAAGACTTGCTCAGTAAGTCAGTCAGTCAGTCAGTCAGGCAACCAGTGGCCGCCCCCATCTGCCCATTCCCTGAGTGGCACTTGACCCCCCCCCAACAACAGGATTCAGAACACAGGAGAGATTAAACATGTTGTGTGACCCTCTGAAGTGCACTGGCTGGCTGGATGGATTGAATGCTTGGCTCCCAACACTGTTTATTTGTCAGCCACATCTGCACAACCTCCCCCGCAGTGCCGCTCACTCCCCAGGCCCTGGTTTTGGCTGGCTGAATGAATGACAATAACATCAGAAGACACTGGAAGCATGCAGGCCAGTACGTCACCCGCTAGATGGAGAACACTCCGTCTAACAGCAGTGAGACTTTATTTTAGTAACGAGTGCTGGAAGGTTCTCTGCCACCCCGCTGCCACTCTGCAAGGTGCACTGTCTCAACGTCTGTGTTGGCCAGCAGCCAAGGAGGACTATGCATGTTTAGAAGTTCAGTACTGTAGTAGTATGGTCTGATGTGGCTTTGCTGCCCCCCCTCCCCCCATAAAATTGCTAATCCCAGGGCATCTGCTTCTTTTGTTATTCCTTTTCCCGACTCCTCCACTATGGAATCTCAGACAGAGAATAGGATTTATAGGGGCATATATTTTTGCTATGTAGTTGATCCAATAATATTTGTGCGATCTTATAAAAATAAAACTAACGATGGTGTGACATTTCTTAGGTGCATATTTATAAGACACTGAATCTGAGTTACCAAACAGTCTGCAAGTGAATCTTCCAGCTTCATGTGTTTTCAATAACAGTGATTGATTTACCACCCATAAATGTTTGATATAAGTCACACTAACTGATTTGTAAAGATGCCCCTTAATGTTAGTACGGTGTGGTATAGCAATAAGAGATACTCCTACTTATTTTTGGTGACCTTTTCAGATCGGAGCTTGCTGTTTATGTATTTGAATAATTCACAACACTGTTTTCTTCAATACTACACCAAACATGAAAATAATGTGAGTGCCTAAATTTGATTTGGCATCAGCCTCTCAGAATCAGCTGCACAACAGTGCTGCATGCACATATGCTGACAAGTAACAAGCTGACAGGAGGAGAAATCAAAGTGAGCAATGGGATGACGTCATCAGTATGCTGCTGCTCCAGTGTCCACTCACAGGCTCGTAGCAGGTAGATATCACTGCTGTATTTCTTAAAGGTAGCAGAAAAGTGGTGTCATCAACCTGGCAAAGCTGAGTAATCTCAGAACTGAATGTAGATAAATGTAGATCCGTTGACAGTTAAAACGGCTCTCTTAAGTGCATTGTATCTTTGTATTTAGATGTTTCCCTGATGTTCAGCTCCAGCTTTTAAAAATTACCCCAAAACTGCAAAATTCAGAAAAATTAATAATGGTGCACCAGCTACACCAGAAATTGCAAACCTGACTATCAGCGTAACAACTATAATTAGGTAATTTGATTGACAATTTCTCATGGACTTATAAAGACAAATAAGTGCATAAACAGTAAATGTTAAAAGAAAACCTAATTCTAAACAAGTAAACCTGATACAAATTAAAATTGTATAAAGTGAGAGCTGCAAATGGTAATCAACGACACAAGCGGCAGGGATGTTCCCCTCTAGTACCAACTACTTTCCTCCTGAAGTGCTTATGTCAATTGAAATCTGTTTGACTGTGGATAGTTAGGATTGGAAGTTGTATGCTTGGACTCATTGAGGGATATTTATGAATGCAGTTGCTCTGTGTTCTCAGTGGTCGGACTATGAAAATGTGTGCAGGTAATTTGCAGATTCTATACTACATTTTGCTGCTACCACTACCCCTTATAGAAATATCTGTGACCAATCTGTGAATGTCTACTGGTTTTTGCACATTTGTTACAAGTGTTATAGCTACAATTGCTGCAGAAATTAACACAGAACTCACGCAAATGTAAAAAGTGATGTGGGCCACTTTATGCACAGGTGTAAATTATCTGAAAATTACTTCTTAAATGATTTTCTGGGAGCTAAAGTATTTTTAGCCAAATTGTGACAGGTAAGCAAATCTGCCACACTTTTGCATCAAAACAAGGGGTGCAAAGCGATGTAAAACATTTATCGCATGAAATGCAACATTATGATATATCTGTCACAATTCTACAACAGATTAACAAACTACAGTATATTCATAGTTGTGATGGCTGCCACTTTATTGATACTTGTCTCTAATTGTATGTTGGAAACTAAACCTTTCAAACTCTGGGGACATTTCTTTTATACACACTTATATAGCCCTGAGGTCAGACTACAAAAATAGGTCTGGATACATCTGTGTTATAGTTACTGTGCGTTATTAAACCTGAAATTATATTAAAATAAAAGGTTTTTAAAGAAAAACTCCAGGCACACATTTTCAGAACCCTTGCAGTGGGGTTACCCCCGCACTGCAAGGGTTAAGTACTCGTTTTAGTCTGAGGATGAAAATAAAAAATATATTTTCACCTCAACCTTGGAACCAGCTGGTTGTTAGACTGGTCCCTGCCGCCTCACTCACCCTCCACTCCAGTGGTCTAAGGTCCTGTGAGTCATCATGTTCAATAAACTGTATCGGACTTGAGGACGCCAAGAGACATTTCATCGCTTAAGTGGAGGAGGAGCCAGGCTGAAGGGACCAGAGTAGCAGCCAGCTGACTCCAAGGCTCAGGTAAGTATAACTTTTTTAATTTTCATCCCTAGACAAAAACGAGCACTTAAATCTTGCAATGCGGGAGTAAACCCACTGCATGGGTTAAGAAAATTTGTGCCCGGAGCTATTTTAAATATGAATTTTCTATATTAGATATTTTAAATGTGGATTGTAATGGATGCTCCTCCATGATGTTTAACAGTTTGAGTTTCCTGCAGAGTCAGCAGGTCTCCTGAGCACTGTCCATGATATTGTAAGGTACCTGTGCAAGGTAAATTCTGAAGTGGAGCGAGGCTGAGGTTAAGGCAAGGCAGTGTCAAGCAAGCAGAGTCATCAACAGACTGGCAGTAAGGTACAAAATCAGGATAGTAGTCAAGAAACTGGTTAAAGTCGGCAGGCAGAAGGGTAGTCAGAAAACAAGCCAAAGTCTGAAAGATATCCAGCAGTCAGTTCATAGGCAACGCACGCACAGGAAACAAACCCAAATAAACGGGCTCAGAACACAGGACGTGCTCAGTATCTAAAGGCTGAGATGATTGCAAATTGACTGCAGATGGCAAGCAGGTGGAGCTTGAGAGTCCAGAGGAAAAGCGGCTGAATAGAAACCTGCAGTGCAAAGCTTAGTACTCCTGGTGGCTGAATGGCAATGCCTCAGCACTATCCCAGAGACCCAGGTTCAACTACCCACATCTACAAAACAGGTGCAAGGCAGACAGGCACCTAACAGATAGAGTGTCTCCTATCCCTTGTAGGGTCATATGGAGCCACCCTTGTGTTTGCTAGTAAGCTGTGTGTGCCTCCACAAACACACAGGCACATCAAGGCCAGCCACTCATCTGCTCCCTGATCCTTCCTCCTGCTTACTCCAAGATAGTAGGTGAATAGTTGCTGGAGACTGCTCTGTTCCTTGTGATCTTCTACTGGACAGGAAGTCCAGGGAAGAGTAGCAGAGAGAGTTGGAGCTGTTCGGAAACATGATGACTGTAAGTGCTTGGACAAAAATGTAAAAAAAATGCTTTGCTGGGCAATGTGTATATGTTTCATCTGTAATCATTATTGAAAAAAAGATTGAGAGTTTAATATTACTTTACAGTTCGTGGTTTACAATTTAGATAAACTTTATGGTGAGCATAACGCATAGAGACTGCCATGTGCATTGGCCCTAAATAGTTCAAAAGGATTAGAGTCATAAAAGACTAAGAAATAAATATAGTGCTCTGTTTGGCCTTCTAGCCACCTGTTGCTCTGCTTTTGTGTGTTATTCAGCTAGTCTTTTGTTCTTTAGGGCAATATTGTGCATTAACTCTTTCAAACTGGCTGACAATGGCAAACAGTCATACAGCATTTGGTATCCACTTCTGAAACAAGTTCGAGGGCATGAGCTCTATGTCAAAGTAGCAATCAGGCCACTGTATGTTTTTCTGAATGTAATGTATTCTTTACATTCAAGGTAAATAATACTTACTTGAGATGGCAGAAAAGATTTCCAGCACTGCTTCCGCCTACACAGTTGAGAGCTAATTTAGGCCTTTCACCTACCTGGAAAAAAATAAGTGAAAGCATGGCCAGCTTGATTTGTGCTAACGCAGTACATGGTATATTGATAATTACTTCACACTGTCACAGGTGATTACTAGGTACAAGCATTAAAAAAAAATACAGACACAGCAGAGGCTTTGCGGTTGCAGATGAAATTTAGAAAATTCACAGAGAGAAATTGCTTAAAAAGGATTACCTTAAAGAGATGTGCCATTCCTTCATTCTGTAGCATATCCTCGGTAATAACATAGTTAGCACCAAGTGACTGCAGTTTCTTTATCATTTCACTCAAGTTAGACCTTAAAAAATACAAAGATGTAAAGATAAGTAAAACTTAACATCCAGTAAAACTCAACTGCAGACTTCCAGTGGTTGAGCATTGTTGGGCCAGAGGGCCCACAATACAACCTCTTGTTCCTATAATTTCTGCCTTCCCAATAGAGATGAGTGAACTTCTGAAAAGTCTAGTCAGTTGTGATTTGGCCAAACTTCCAAAAAGAAATTCTTCAAATACAGTAGATTAATAGTATAAAGATAAGGACAAAATACATATGCCCCATTAAAAAAAAATATTGGTCACAAGTGATAAGAGAAGGCAGATATTTGAAATACATTTTCCTCTTTAGATCACACAGATGAAAAAGAGGTTTAATAGTCAGTACAGTAATGCTAATTGCAATGTACTCAATGCACCTCTGGGGCTGTCACAGATCTACCCGCTCCGCAGCTCCGTGTCCGCTGCGCGCCGTCCGTCCATGACGTCATGGTTGACTCCTCCCATTGGCCGCGGCTCCTCCTCAAAGGCACAGCTGAGCCACTCATTCGGTGTTCTATCGTTCTGGAACGTCGAGCGAGTGGCTCTGAGGGAGCTGTGAGAGAGTGAGACTAACTTAGCTGGAGAGTGACACAAGAGACCCACCAACCGACCCATGCAGAGAGGTCGCCTCCGTCCTCCCTGATACAGGCTTGAGATACCTTTTGTCCTCACACACAAACCGCAAGTATTTGGGAAACTTCCCCCAACTGTTGTAGCTACTTCCAGATTAACCTGCTAATACTCAATTGTTGAACTGTGTCAGTTAGCTTATCATTGCTTTCACGGACCGTCAGTATCTGCTGATCCCCTCACACCTGTTGCAGCCTTTTCCAAACATAACCTTCTAATGCTCAATTATTGAACTGTGTTAATTAGCTGCACCATTGTTCTTACGGACCGCCAGTACATGCGGATCTGCTCACTCCTGTTGTAGCCACTTCCAACCTTAACCTGCTGCTGCCCAATTGACGAACTGTATCAGTTAGCTAACCTTTGGCCAATCACACAGACCACAACTGTATGCGAATCTTCTCCACACTGTTTGTAGCTACTTCCAAACTTGAAACTGCTTAAGCTTGATTACGAGTAACCAGAGCATACTGGGAACCACTACTCTCTCATACCTCCACAGTAACTTAACCCTATAGCCACAACACATTGTGCAGCGGTTAGCCCCAGGGGCAACAATCCTTTTACCATACATAGAACGGGGTACATGATGTGGAACAGTTCACCCTCACACTGAGTGTATTGGGGTTCCGCCAGACTGACCAAACCCCTTAATCCTTGATTGCCAGCTCCGTAGCTGAGATCCAATAATAACCTTACCTGCTGGATTGTGACAGGGGCTGTCAAATAATCCAAGTTTAAAAAAGATTAGGCAAACTTAAAGGAGAGCTATAAGGTGAGTGATTTACACTCACAGTTAGAGCTAATCTGTGACATTGAAACTGTCACATGTCGGCTATATTGATCGGGAAGTGAGCGAACACATACCGTTGCTCACTCACTTCCCAATCATCTCACTGCAGAGAGTGGTGACTGTCAGCCACAGCTCCCCGCAGGAAGTGACCCTAAAGGGAATTATGGGGTAAAAAGGTTACCCCATAGTTCTCTTTTAAGGTAAATAAGCCACCAGGACCAGATGGTTTACACGTGCAAGTCCTTAGAGAACTTTGCTCTGTTTTAGCCAGACCATTGTTTTTCATTTTTAATCACTTGAAGTCCGGGGTGTTAAACCCCTTTCCTGCCCATGTAATTTTTCAGTATTCAGCGCTGTGGTACTTTGACAGACATTTATTCAGTCAGGCAGCGCCGTACCAAAATTAATTTTATATAATTTTTTGGGGACAGATAGCACTTTCTTTTGGTGGTTTTTAATCACCACTGCATTTTCTTATTTTTTACTATATAAAAGAAAAAATACAGAAAATTTTGAAAAATATAAAGTTTTCCTTAAGTTATGCTATGAAACATGTATTATCACTAATTTTTTTTGGTAAAATATAAATGATTGGGTCATGTAGACACCAAATATGTCAAGTCTTAAAATTGCGTGCACCCACAAAATCGCAAAAAACTACCATACCCAAAATTGTCCGTAGGTGACATTTTATAATCTTTTACCGCTCATCAGTTTAGTGTTAACATTGATTGATGGCCCTAGAATTATTGCTCTCACTGCGACGTTTGTAGTGATATGTAACGTGTAGATCGATGGCTCATTTTCTAAATGGACTAAGTGTGTGAGCGGTGTGCCCCTGGGCTCTTTCTCGGGGCCAATGTGGTTTAACTTGTTTGCTAATGATAATGAGGTTGGAATTAGGAGTTAAGTTTCAGTGTTTGCTCAAGATACCAAATAATGCAGAGAAATAAATGCACAAAATACATCATCAGGAACACTTAGATACAATAGGGGTGGGGCAGCAACATAGCAGATGAGGTCCAATACTGAAAATTAAGTTATGCACTTGGCCACTAAAAATATACACAGGGCCGGCAAGACCACCGAGGCCCGGCCTCGGGGCGGCACTTAGCAGACGGGCGGCACAGGTTTGAATCACCCGACAACCGGAACATGGAGTTCTGGGCGGTAATTTTACTTTCTACATTTAGCCCTGCTGTGCACAAGCAGGACTAAATGTAGAATAGGAGAAATCACTTGTTTCTTTACAATGATGTTGCCGTGAACACTTGTAATTAGACTTGTAAATAGACTCCCCTGCACTTACCTCTCTCCATGCTGTGTCCATGCTGTGTCCTCCCGGCTCCGTCCTCGCCGCCGTCTTCAGTATGGAGAGCGGTGAGCAGAGCGGCAGTGGCGGCAGGGAGGGTAAATCCGGTCCTGAATATACATGCAACATACTCTTTGGGAGGGTCTCCTCTGGGTGAATCTGTGATGGAACAGAATTTGGGGGTCCTTGTAGATCACAGACTTAGCAACAGCATGCAATGCTAATCTTCAGCTACCAAAGCTAGAAGAATAGTCTATTGTATTAAAAAGGGCATACATTCAAGAGATAAATCCATAATTCTACCCCTTTATAAAACACTTGTTTCATCCGCATCTTGAATATGCACCAATCCACAGAAAGGATGTCCTTGAACTAGAAAGTGTTCAGAGAGGGGCAACATAATTATTAAGGGGGTTCGAAGACCTCAGTTATGAGTAATGACTACAAACATAATTTATTCACTCTAAAGAAGAGGCACTTAGGGTGGGATATGATAATAAATAAATATGTATCAAAGGGGATTATACGAATGTTAATACCCTTTCTCTCTCTAAGGTCCCTAAAGAAGAAGACATGTGGCCACAATTTAAGATTGGATGAAAATAGGTTTAATCTTAAACTGAGAAAGAGGTTCTTTACTGTTGGAGCAGGTTGATCCAGGGATTTATCTGGTATGGGGGAATTTTTTTTTAACCTCTTACAGTTTATTGACCTATGTTTGTAGGGGTTGGTTTTGCCTTCCACGTGTTCGAACACAAATAAATGAGCACCCACACACACATGAAGAGGTTGAACTTGATGTATCTGAGACTTTCTTTTAACCTTATCAACTTTGTAACTCTGTAATATAAACAAAAGCAGCATGTTAACTAAAATTACATTATTACAACAAATGCAGCCTTTACAAATGAGTATCATCCTCCAAAAAATGCCTAGAGTAACATGAACTGTAAATTTGCCCTTGCCATTAGAGTAGTACTTATAAGGCTGATTAAACTGATGTAATTGTTCTGTTTTTTTGGAGAACACTTTCTCCGGTGACATCTGTGCACCACAAAAGGAAACCAATTGGTTGCACAGGAAGATTGCAATCTGATGACTGTGCGACCACATGACTGCATTAAAATTTACAAAAAGGTATTTTTCTTTACATTTTTGGAAGCTGCATGGAAATAGGTGTTGGGCGGTACAGTTGACTGTATTCTTCTGCATTGCCTTGCCATAAACCTCAATATTGACATAACTTAACACCCATTAACATGAGCACTGACTTTCTAATAGTTTTATCAATAAATCAATTAGATGTAAGGTGTTATAGTATCAGGTTTAATGCTTCTCAGAAAAATGTTTCAATGAATTGTTAGGCAGAATTATCATTATATCAGTCATACACAAGAGGGCAGCATTTGATAGTGTGAATTCCCTTTGCTTTAGGAATTCCATCTCATATTTAGCATGCCTCGTGAACAGACTTTTGAAAATCCACTCTGACATCTACTTGTCCTTATCTGTAATAATATCCATTGGTTGCTAAATTGATTTGCATGAACTGTGCTCTGTGTGCCTTTTAAAGTAAACCTCTCATCCTACCAAGGAGATTATTTTAACAACATGAATAAAATACAGGAACCTAGAGGTCCTACATGTGTCTTCAAGCAATTTCAGATATAACACAGTAACCCTGAAACCCAGGGTGCTTTATAATGAAACATTACGACTTTTCTTGGTGAAGTCAAGCACTATACCTCCCACATCACTGCCTCCTGCAGCCCAGTGTTGGGCAGAAAGGCCATTGATTATAGTAATAAAACAATAGTGAAATGCAAGAGGGCATGACTGTGCTTGATGCCAGGAAGATTTGTAATGTAATAGAGTGATCTTAAGTTTGGTGCCCCTGGGGTGCTCTTGAAGGTGTTTAAAACAAAGGCCTACATTGTATTTATAGTGCTAGTTTGATTGTTTTGATGAGATGACAAGTTTACCTTCAACTGCTTTTAGAACTCAGTACCCCATTACAATGACCTAAAGCCAAGGTGGTCAACTTGTAAATGATAGAGAGCCTCAAGTTTTGGCCCTGGCATGTCCAGAGGGACTTACAATGACAGCGCATTTTTGTGTGTTGAGGTGCGTTGTGTTACTTTAGGCAGCCTATATAAAATGTATGGATTGCAAGGCACCTCCACACCCAAAAATCTTGGTCCTGCTGCATTTTTGGTGGTGTGTAATAATGCAGCTACATTTCACAGGTGTGTTGGGGTTCTATTCAAAATAAATGGCACTGCACGAGTGCTTGAATACCATGCTTTACCACCATGTGGTAGTGTGAACAAGCCCTAATGCATAGAGCAGTTTTAAATTTACAATTATTAGTTTAACTTACATTAGAGCCCAATTGAACATTCAGTTTAAATCAACTAAATGCATTCCAGGTGCATGCAAACAGAAAGTGTGCAGTGTCTTCCAGTTTGTTTCCTTTCTAAAGGTGCCCATACACCTTACAATTATCTTCAGATTTTCTGTGGTCAGATGGAAAAAGTGCAACAGATTGGCCCAGGTGGAGATTACTCCATCCACTCAGTTAAATGTAGATGGAGGAATCTGTTGCACCTTTTTCCATCTGACCACAGAAAAGCTGCAGATAATTGTAAGGTGTATGGCCAGCTTAAAGGAGTTACAGCCTGAGTAGAAAAACTTGCCCTCTGCCAGCAGCTGCAGAGCGGGACCCTTGCTCTTTGTTGGGGAAACAGGGGTCTTAATGTCTGAAGTATGCCCCTTACTGTGTCAGACCTGTAGGTCTCTGATCAGCAAAGCTCATGGTCCCTTCTGATTGGAGAGCTCTGTTTCTGACTCAACAAGGGTTGTGTCGCACCTCTGGAGGGAGATCACTGTTTCCCCACAGAGATCATCACCTCTTGACAACCCATTTGACCAGAGCTGTATTGGAAGGTGCGAGAGTGTAGAGAGAAATTCTCCATCCTGGTCACATCTCCCAAACAGCCGAGTCCTTTACAAATAGCTGGCAGCAGATACTGATGTACCGTCTCTGTGAAGTGCAGGAAACTGCTTACTGGAATGCAGGAGTTGGAAATACTGCTAGTAAGAAGACACCTCCAATATAGGGATTGGTCTTTGGAGTGGGGCTGCATATTACACACCACAAAAAATGCAGTAGGACCAAAATGTTTGGGTGTGAACTTGACCAGCTCAGAGATGCATTAGACACATCACGTGCTTTGTTTTTGTCCCTGGTGGTTGCAGATCCACCCCAGGAAACAGAAGCCTGCACACAGAGAGCCAGTAGCCAGCCAGTGAGCTGCATATTGGGCACCAAGTACATTTGGAAAGTGTAGTTAAGGGATATATCTAGGAATGCACCGATACCGGTTTCTCGGTATCAAGTAGAAGTACTGATATTTTAGTTACCGAATACTGATACTGGCATCTCGGTGTACCGTGGGCCCGGATTATCCTGATTGCCCCGGAAGCCGGTGCTTTGTCGAAAGAACACCAGCTTCACATTTCCTCGCGGGTCATGGCGTGCCGTCCAGCTTCCTGTTTGGTCAGGAAGCCAGGCTGCCTAGCAACAAGTGAAGCTGGCTTCCTAGCCAATCAAGAAGCAGAGAGGCGTGTCATGACGTGCCACCCAGCTTTCTGATTGGTCAGGGAGTCAGGCTGCCTAGCAATAGGTAAAATCAGCTTCCTAGCCAATCAGGAAGCCAGGAGGTGGGTGATGACCCACCCATGACTCCATGCTCCCTCGCGGCACTGCCAGTCAGAGGAAATCTCCCTCTGACCGGAAGTTCCGTTATTGATGAATATCGGAGCATTTGGGCAAGTACGCATCCTCGCTCAAATACTTGGTATTGGCACCAATACCGATACTAGAATCAGTTCATTCCTTGATAGATCCTCCGTCCAGTTTTTATTGCTGTTTATGTCCTTGCTAGGAAGATGCACTCTCTCTAATTTTCTTGGTGACCACTGTCATCGGGACTGAAAATGGTGGAAAATCAAAATGTTTGAGATGTCACTAAAACTTGGCTTTACCTAAACTTTAAAGGGAATCCGCTGCCTTTTTCAAGATTTGTTTAGATAAACAGGACTATGGCCAACATGACCATCATCACGAAAACATACTTAGAGGTGGTAATTTGAATAAAGATTGTATTAGCACATAAAACATGCCTATTTATGTTGCAGTCCAGAGTTTTGAATTTTCATATAAGGTTTATGTAGCATCCCCCTGACCTATAGGAGCATGTGGGGGATTTCAGAGGCAGGGTGGGCTGACATTTCACCTCAGGGATGCGTCCTTAGCCGGTTGTGGGATGTGAATACAAATTTGGGCACCAGTCGCTTTAAGGATTTTTCAAAGGTTTTATTCCATCAGCAACTCAATGGGACAGAGGGTTAGGGTTTCAGACATCTAAGACAGTACATAACTCCAGACTCACTGACCACTTTCCAGCTTCACAGTGTATAGGGCCTTTAAACTGATTGTAGTAACACTGTATTGTAGAACCTTTGTTGGTCAGTAGACATAGAACCAAATTCCTTAGGCAAGACACCAGACTTCCTGGTCCATACCTGACCAGCTGCAGGCTTGATCACACAGCATAGCACTTTCCATAGCCTCCCCCTGATAGGAGGCCCAGGGGGGGGGGGAAAGAGACTCTCACAAGGTTGCATGCTCTGCTCTGTAGAAAGGTCACACCTAGTGTCACATATGGGAAGGATAACATACTTACCTCTTCTTCACTTTCCTGCAACTTGTACAGTCTTGGGGGGTAGAAAAAAACAGCCTGGTGTAAGTCTGAGTAACAATGGCGGGAGCTTACACATTGCTGAGAACGGTCCTTATGCCACTATCTGACAGCACTGAGCCAATCACTTAGCACCAATGTAATCAACATGGATAGAGACACATACTCCTCCATGACTAGAAGAACAGGGTGCAGGATGACAGATTGAAGGAAGGTAGTTTGACACTGGAGAGGAGTTCATTAGAGCAATTTAGTTGTTTTCTCCTGCATGGGCAAAGCACAAGTTTGCTTTAAGCTCCTTCTTGAATCTCACCATGAATGTCTTAAGTTTTTTTTTTTATATATCTATGTCTTTCTGGGGCCAAACATTTAGCCAGTCCTACCAAAATAGGGATCGGTGGGAGGTTTGCCAGATCTCTGTTTTTACTATGGCTGTGGCATAAAATATGCTGTTATGGATTTTGCAATTTACTTTATTTGTATCTGGATAATATTAATGTGAAGTGTCCATGCAATTTAATCCTTACCTGTCTCTAATGACGTTAATAGTGTTTACTCCCATCGATGCACAAATCTGTATCACAGCTTGTCCCACACCACTGTTTGCACCATTTTGAATTACAGTATCACCTTGAGAAGAATGGAAAGACAAGTAGGCTTACTTAAAGCATATACAGACCTAAAACAAAAAAGAAATTTGTTGCAGCTTACCAGCCCCTATATATGGAGGTTGCATTAGTTTTCTTTTCCAGACATTTTTCACTTTATTTTTTCACCTGGTGAACCTGCCAGTACATCACTTCTTGTCCTAGGGTGACAATGCCCACTAATTTTACTGTATCTGTGAAGGAAGTGTGTAAGAACAGTAGACCATCCCCTTTTCTCCTGTTCTCAACAACATAAGGGGAGTTGTTTTGTAGTCCACCAAAAACGCTGGGAACAATGTTAACTGATAGCAGAGGAAGAGACTACTGGACTGTATTTCACAAAACAGAGTGAAATACAATTTTAGTTTGGAACAATTTTAGAATGCGGTATGTTTGTCTTCTATCTTTAAAAGCCTCTCCAGCACTATATTGTTTTATTAAAAATGTTTTTTTTTACTTTTCTAAACTTTTTTTACAATTTTTTTATTTTTTTATAAACTTTATTTTTTTATGTTTACATTTTTTATTTTTCTTTAAACTAGGGAGCACTAAGGGGTAATTTTTTTAAAATTTACAGTAGCTTTGATGGTTTGCATCTCTGAGTAGAATACAGTATTATCCTCAGAGAAGCTTTGTATCAGTTTGTAACGCACAGCCGGCTTGCAGTTACACAACACAGTGAGATCCTGCTAGCTCTGTGGCTGTCACAGCTCTGTGATCACAGTGATTACTTATCGCTGTGATCTTAGGGCTGTGACCACCTAATCTGCTGTTGAGGGTCTGCCTCGGATCCCGAAGGACCCAGCAACAGCAGTGACTCAATTAGCGCTAGTCCCCCCATGGACAAGCGTTCGTTGTACCGCATGACAGGATTATCCCGTCACCGGTCGTCAATTAACTAAACGATCATGACGGTATAATCCCGTCATCGGTCAGGAAGGGGTTAACAGAAACAGGCAACTAAAAATAATTTCCAGCTAGTTGATATTGGTTACTGTACTTTGCACATCATGTTTACCTTTACTGTCTTAAACTGTATACATTTTATTTAAAACATTTTATGAAATAAACCTGAGGAATTTTTAAATTTGACTTGCAGATTCTGAAATGAAGGCTCAAAAGAGAAGAAATTTTGGGAGCTGATTTGTTTTTAAAGTTGCAATCACCCTTATCCCACTTTTACTATTTAGTGAGCCACAGAAATCGGGCAAACATGCAGTCAGTGAAGAGTCAACATAATTGGTATGCATGTGGATTCATTAAGTAGGAAAGGAAGGATAAAGATGACACCCTTTCTCCAAGCTGAAGCTTCAAACACAAGTCATCAAATGCTGACTGACTGACCTTTTTAAAAAACTACTCAATGGGAATTCTTAGACTATATTGTGTTTAGCTGTATGCCTGCTGTCAAATTTTGTGAACTGATATTTACGCGGACTTCTGAAGCAGTAAGACAAGCCTATTTTGTTGCAGGCAAGAGAAGAAACCATTTTACACATTGAAGTTAACTCAAGCCATGCCCCTCTCAAACAAGTATTTTGCTAGAAACCTTTAATGTTAATTGAAACTGATTAAAAATATTAAAGTGTATTTCCACTTTTGCAGCCAAATTGGGATACCACCTACTTTATATTTGTTATATGCTTCTGTTCACATAGCATAAGTAAACAAAAATGTAAAATGACTGTTAGATTTTTACTAGATTTTGACGCTGTTAAAGAAGAACTCCAGGATTTAAAAAAAATAACTCTTGCAGTGGGGCTAGTCTGTACTGCAAGGGTTAAGTGCTCATTTTGGTCTAGAGGAGAAAATAATTAAATACCTACCCGATCCACGGTCTTGGTGCAGTGCCCGCTCATCTTTCTCCACCTTTGCTCTGGCTGTGTATGTCATTTAGCGTCCTCACATCTTATAGACCTGTATTAGATGCGATAACGTCATGGGTCCTTAGACTGCTGGAGCCCGGGGGAAAAGAGGCTGAGAGCACCGGTCTAGCAGTCAGGTGGGACCCAGAATCAAGTGAGTGTTTTTTCTTTATTTTCGCCCCTAGACAAAACAAGCACTTAACCCTTGCAGTGCAGGGGTAGCCCCACTGCAAGGGTTAATTTTTTTTAAATTGTGGAGTTCTTTAAAAATCCTGCCTTGTTTTCCCTTCTATTTAATATTAAGGAGGGGGCTGGGAGTAATGTTTACCATAATTAACCCTGTTTGTACGGTGCTGGCAGATCTTCATTATCAGTTGTAAACTAGATTTGAACACTATCTATACTAAAAAAAAGGTTTGAGTAGTGCAATGTATTAAAAAGCATTTCTAGATATGTTGTTTGAATGTGAAACCAATCTTTCATAGTGTCACACATTGCCACCCGTGCATCTTCCCCTTAGAGTTATATAAAATGTAACCTTTACTTGATCTAATAAAATCTTTTTTTTTTTTAAATGGCATCCATACCATTTTAGAGGGAGGTGCATAATGTCCTTATTTCAGTTCTATCATCTGATTTTATTCACTTTTCTCTTATTTGTATTATTTCCTATTATATTTCTTTTACCTTCTTCTAACTAATAATCCCTATACACCCATGCCCAACATGTTTCACCCCTATTAGGGCTTCGTCAGGGGTCTGTGCAAACTTGTGTAACAAAAAGTACTAGTGCTCTTGTGCCAAAAAACAAAACAAATCTCCCAAAGACAAAATAAATCTCTGTGAATAAAGAATAATGAATGATGTGTGAATGGAAACACAACACACATAAAGAGGGTTTCGTACATTTGACTGCAAAAGTAAGCAAAGGCAGTTTACATCTTGAAAACACAACAAATTGAATTACACAATGAAATTACAAATAAGGTATACATGTGCTTGAGTGAGAAGCCCATCAGCAATACTACTGAACTCCTGCAGTGTTTTAAAACAGTGTATTTTTCTTCTATAACTTTGGGGAAAATGTAGACACAACATGGCTGTTGTTTGCCAGCAACTACAGTAAACAAACAGCATGTGTGGGACTAAAACTTTAAAACTAAAAGCTGGAATATATACGTGCAGAACAGAAAATTGTTTTTGTGTTGGAGCTTTGACAAAAATAACACACACACCATGGTTATATTTGTAGGCCTACAGCAATTAGAAATGTTGTATTGAAACCAGTAGCTTTTTAAGAAAATTTTTGTATGATGGAGTCCTCTGAGTCTACCAACTAAATAAGTAATATACCCAAATTAATTCACACTTCCTAATGCTATTTTACCTTAGCAGTATCCAAATTCCCTACGTAGAATGGACTCTTGACATATTTTTGAATGCTCAGATGGGAAATGAATCCTGGGTAGGAATTAATAACCCAATCTTTGAACAAATTTTACAGATCTCCAGAGGCTCCTCTCAATGTGTGTCCTTTGTAATCTGAATAGGGAGAGCAATTTACCTGCAACTACCCAGGCTGTTGTTTAAGAAGGAAGGCATATTTTGTAGTCCTCTATGTGAAGCATGCATTCAGTAATGAAGGCTATAAATGCAGAATGATTATAACATGACGGGGGAGGAACACATATTTGCTTGCTGTTCAGACTGGGAACCGGGAAGTGTTCAAATCTAGTTTACAAGACTGTATGACTAGTGTGCCTGACTTGTATCACTTGGGTAAGTATTGCTGACCCAACAGTCACTACTTAGCATAATGCAATCCAGCTTATGTGTGAAATATTGCCAATGTCAAGTCTGGCAAAACCTTTGTGTCAGTGAGTGCAAGATAACTACTGAGAGTTGGTAGCAAGCAGTCAAAGTCAGCAAATATACCGGGTTATTCACAAAAGGGTGAAGAGCTTGGAGAAGTGAACAATCTAGGACAACATAGCTGAACTGGAAAGTGAGCTGAATTGGAGAATTTTTCCAAATCAACTATTTTGGCCTAGATTGTTCACTTCTCCTGCCTTCTCCAAACTCTTCACCCTTTTGTGAATAACCCTGATAGTATTTATAACTATCATAAAATTATAATATCCTGTATATTGTATGCAAATTGTATGCTTCTCCTGTGAGTTTCAAGTGTTCCACAGTCTAGTCACTTGTACACTTAGGGCTCCATTTATAAACAATTAGCAGATCCATTCACCCTGAACATCTCTGTGAATGTTTGTTTTGTGCAAATACAGGGAAAAAAATGTTGTTAGTATATTTTCTTTTCAGGTGAAATGTAATGTAATACCGCATTATGACCACTAGATGGAGCTGAGGAAGATAGGAATAACATATTTATTTCCTATGCTTCTCAGCTCCATCTAGTTGCCATAATGCGGTATTACATTACATTTCACCTGAATAGATAATATAACTGTACAAATATACAAAGAATGTTAGTTTTTGCTTCTATTAGCCTGTCACAGAATGGATGTTCACAGCGATTCCCTGGGCTAATGGCCCTGTGAATTGTTTATAAATAGGATACAGTCAGTATACCATCACACTCAAAACCGCTGCTCCATCAATCAGACGTGGGTGCACGGTTGTTGATGGATGGCTGCCGCCTCGATATACAGATAGAAGAATGGACACCGGCATTCCAGTAGCAAATCAAGTACGTCTTTTTATTTAATGTACATGTCGCATAGCAAAATACACTCAGCACCATTATGGATGAAAAGTTTTTTCATGATAGCATTTGAAAACTCACATCAGGGACATGCTATAATATAGCTAGGAACTGCAATGTTTAGCTCATTTTATTCATTGAATCAATAATATCACGTAGTAGGTGTGTTTTTATTTTTATATTCTATGTTGCTCTCATGAATAGCTGAATGACAAATGCTCCCGAGTCCCGATTTACAATTTTGGGGAGAGAAGGCACAGGATAAGATGGAAAGTCATGCAGGGCATTCTAGAAAAATCCACCAAGGTCCTTAGCGTTAACTGGTAAGTTCTGTCGTAAGGTAACAGAGATGGAGTTAATAGGCACATCCTAAATTGAATCCTGGTGTTTCTATCACCAGTATTAGCCAACCAGGCATTAACTTACCCTATGTAGATTGATGTTATTTGATAGCATACATTTTGTGACTTTACACAATATTTTATTAGAATATTAGGAAACTGCCCGCCTTGTATATATTGCTACTGGGCTTTCTATTTTTTTCAGTTACACTGAATAATGGAAGAGTTCATAATTATGTTCTGCAAGTCTATAGCTACTACACTACTGCCATGAACAAACTCTTTAGATGTGAGTCAGAGATGCATAAAGCAGGGGACTTTTTTTTAGAAATGTGTAGCTCTCTACCATATGTTCTGTATTCATTTTCCTGGTGCTGAAGACAGGTGAATACAAGTGTGACAGCTGTGTGATAACGTCTTAGATGTGTGTGACAACACCAGCTGTGCAGGCATGGCGACTTTTA